TGATATTTCTAAGCCCCAGCCATTTTTTTTTAATGTGTTCTGGGGAAGTGGGGCAGTTCTGTCTGAATCATCTTATACTTGTCTGGGTGAGTTAGGGGTTCCTCAGGAGTACAGCTGGGGTTGCTGTGAAAAGAGAAGTCTATTTCTCGCCCTGACCATTTGTAGAAAAGAATGCTGGGAACACTTCAGTTCTAAGTTCTAAGACCGGTTAGAAATGATAGATTTTTAAGCAATCAATATTTGAAAGTCCTCAACATCATGTTCTTAAATTGACCTAAATGGAAAAACATTATTTTTCATTAGAAAAAAAATAGAAATAAACAACAAATGGAACCATTTAGAAAGCAGTGTGTTTTAATCAATAATGAGCCCTAACCTTTGCAGTGCTAGCACATGGAAATCATTATTCTATACCAGCGGATAGACTATGTCACGTATTTTTTGAGTCAAAGACCAAGTCTTCATTATGTCAGGTCATTCTAAATTTTACAATTAATCTTATGTTGATGCTAAGTGCTTTTTATTCTTAACATCTGAAGAGAAGACCGTCTTAGTTTTGTAGCATAATATGCTTCTTCTTTATTTCTGAATATTTTTTTTCTCCCTAGCTCTTGAAGATATTTTGACTGATTCTAATTTTGTGTAATCTAAAGAACTGGTGATTTATAAGCTATAAGGGTATATGATTTGAATGCTTCCTACTTCGTGTGGCTGGAATTTTTCTCCAGTTATAGCAGAGGCATGATCATCATTCTCCACTTTCAAAAAAGACTGCAGCTGCTTGCAGGAGGAGAGTGAAACTAGAACATTTAATATTTTTGAAAATATATCCTGGGGGAAAAAGTGTTTTGTTTTGTTTTTTGTCCAAAAAGATACTAAATTATTTAGTTTGGCAGCCCCAGGGTATAAAAATTTGGAGTCTTATCTCTGTCATTTATTATTCATCAAGTTCAAGTGGAAAAATTGGAAACCAGTTTCTTATGTAGTTCTCTATTAGATTCATCTAAACTGTTGGCTACAAAGGCCTATATGTTACTGTGATCTCTATAGTTACATTCCACATTTAGTGAATCAGTGTTTAATTTTCAAAATTCTCAGCAAATAGAGCTGCAGCCAAAAATTCCTCTGTTGAGATTCCTTCCGGCCCAAAAGAAACTAATAGTTCCCGGCTGTGTTGCTGTCATTCATTGCTAATCCAGGTATGGCTGCAAACTGTTTTTAATTTTCTTTTTCTGAACTTAAAGGCAGGACTTGCCCTTTTCCCATGAGAAGTCAGTGATAATGTGCAACTGGAGGTAGTTTCCCTTTTCCACACAGACACAATTAGGCTTTGTTTTAGGGCTAGTTTAGATGTGAGCCTGATGATAGACATAATACAGAGAAACACAGGCACATAGTAGGGTATTAAGGAGAAATAAGAATATGTTAGAAATTTGCTCCTAAACTTTGGAGGTTTATGTCATGGAATGCAGCTGTTTCCTACCATAAACTAGACATTGATACCACTTGTCTTTTTGGTATAGAATGTCAAATTAAATGGAAAATACTTTTTTTTATGATTATTATAATTCCTGATAGTATTAGGGTTTGAACTCAGGGTTTGGTTTACTTGCTTGCTTTACAGTACTACCACATGAGCCATACCTCTAGCTCTGCTTTTTGTGGATTATTTTTGAGATGGAGTCTTGAGAACTTTTCTGCTTGGCCTGGCTTTGAACTTTTATCTTTAAGATCTAAGTCTCCTGAGTAGTTGGGATTATAGATGTGAATCACTAGAGTCCAACATATTTTTAATGCTTATTACAATTCCTATCATTAATGAAAAGCTTCTAGAAACATTTAAAATATTGTCATTAGTTATTCTGTTCAGATCAGATCAGAATGGATTAACTTTACTTTTTTTTTTTGTTTATTCAGATATCTTTTTGAGACAGGGTCTTTGTTGCCTGGGCTGGTCTTCAACTTCCATCTTCTTGCATTTGTCTCCTGTTAAGGAGATTGACTGTGCTGAGTAGAGAGGTCATGGTCATTTGAGCAGTGACTTGGGGAAAAAGCTAGTGAGCTGAAAGTATTCAGTCATGAGAATGACTGGTATGAAGACCTGGAGAAGGAAGAGACAAGTCTGGAGAAGCAAGAAGGTTGGAGTAGGGTAGGAGATAAGGTCAAAGGCAAGCATGAATGTTTAGTAACGATCATGTTGGGCCTTTATGGCTATTGTAAGAACTTGACTTCTACTGATAATAAATTGGAGTAAAAACCTCTAATCTAGATTTTAACAGGATCAAATTAGTGTCTGAATACTGATTTGTGGTATGCTCTACCCACTTCGTGTGGCTGAGATACAGAAGGCTACCAGGTTTATAACTTTTCTGCATCCTCACCCCCCCAAAAAAAAGGAATAATAACTTTCCTGAGGAAACAGACTAGCTAATGGAAGAGGATCTGCGTGCAGTGCTTTGGGGGGATCCACTGGAAAAGCTAGTTGGCTGTCTAACCCTGTGATGAGGTCTACTACTCAATGACTTCTATGAATAGCCATAGTTCATCCTTTTATTGTCATACTTTTAACTTAAGCACACAGAGAAAAGTCTATAACACAGAAGAAAACAAAGTGTGTGTGAGGAGGGAATTTGAAAGGAAAAGAAATAATGTAGGAACAAAAGACATTTCAGAAAGCTATAATTAAAATCCTCAGAGAAGAGAGAGGATGCCTTTTTTTGTTGTTGGTCATGAGGCTTGAACTCTGGGTCTGGACACTGTCCCTGCACTCTTCAGCTCAAGGTGAGTGCTCTACCACTTGAGCCACAGGGCTACTTTCGGTTTTCTAGTGGTTTATTGGAGATAAGAGTCTCATGGACTCTCCTGCCCGGGCTGGCTTTGAACCGCAATCCTCAGATCTTAGCCTCCTGAGTAGCTAGGATTACAGGTATGAGCTACCAGTGCCCAGCTCCTAGGATGCCATTTTTATAGAACAATAACAGTTGATGCTCTGGAGGATATAATTCTTTGTTTATTTAAAATATTAATTCAGTAGAAGGATTGGGAGATTTAAAAGAAAGACTTTTTAAAAATTTTATTTTATTTTTATTGTGAAAATACTGTACAGAGGGATTACAATTACATGGACAAGGTAATGAGTACATTTCTTATCAAGCATTGTTGCCTCCTCCTTTGTTTCCCTTTCCCATCCCTTCCCATCTCCCCCCTCTCCCCCTACCCCCACTCCCTCTTCCGATTCTTCCCCCTCCCCCCACCAAAATGTAAAGTTCGTTTTTCGACATAATGTCTTGTACATCTCATTGTTGCAATGGGGCCACCTGTATCCCTATCTAAACAATTTGTTTTTTCCCTTCCCCTCCACAAATTATACCAACATCAAATAGATTGGGAGAAGATCTTCACTAGCCATACAACAGACAAGTGTCTCATATCTAAAATATACCTGGAACTCAAAAAATTAAATCCCCCAACAACAAATTCTCAAAGAAACAACTGCCCAATAAATAAGTGGACTAAAGACTTAAAGAGAAACTTCTCTGAAGAAGAAAGAAGGATGGCCAATAGACACATGAAGAAATGCTCAATCTCCCTTGCCATAAAAGAAATGCAAATCAAAACAACATTGAGATACAACCTCACCCCCAGTTAGAATGGCTATAATCAAGAACTCTAATAACAACAGATGCTGGAGGGGATGTGGACAGAAGGGAACCATACTGCATTGTTGGTGGGAGTGAAAACTTGTTCAACCACTTGGAAAGTAGTATGGAGGTTCCTCAAAAGACTCCACATAGAACTCCCCTATGACCCAGTAATTCCACTTTTGGGCATTTATCCAAATGATTACAAACAAGACCATACTAAAGCTACCAGCACAACTATGTTTATTGCAGCATTATTTACCATAGCTAAGATATGGAACCAACCCAGATGCCCCTCAGTAGATGAATGAATCTAGAAAATATGGTGAATATATACAATGGAATTCTATGCTGCCATTAGAAAGAATGTCATTGCCCCATTTGTTAGGAAATGGAAAGACTTGGAAAAAATTATATTAAGTGAAGTAAGCCAGGCCCCCCAAAAAAGACTTTTTAAAGAGTATATTAAAAAGACAAGCAGATTGAAACTAGATTGGAGCTAGAAAAAAGGTTCAATTAAAGGACAACTGCACTGTTTAACATTTGATTAATAGGAAGAGTTTCAGGAACAATTTGGAATGAATTAATGTGCTACCAGTCACTTGTATAATCTAACCTTAAAATTCCGTGATATGGGGGAATATATTGGTTTTATTATACCATAGATTCTCATATTGTTGAGAAGATGAAAACTAAGCAAATTTAAAAAACAAGACAGCTAATTAGAAAGAAATAGCATAATTTTTGGATGACTCAGTGGGAATAGTATTTTGGTGGTTACAATAGTGTAAACCACAAATAGTGATTAAATCAACTGTGATGCAAATATATTGAGAAAGGAGGAGAAGGAAGCAGGCTCTAACTTAGATCACCGGAAGTCAGTATTAAATTTCAAAAGCATTAATTGGGCAGACTATCTAGAAGTAGCTGAAAGTGATTGCTAGGGTGAGATGGGGTAGGGGTTCACTTTCCTCCTTTTATTATATGCCCTGTGGAGATAGTTTTAAGTTATATTGATGTGTTATTTTTGATAAAAAAAATACAAGAAAATTAATACTGCTGTGTTACATACTTCTGTACCTTAAGGCCAGGTGTCATCAGAATATGGCCACCACTTTCCAGGGAACTTTTTCTCTGGGATAGTTCTCCTTTTTGGCTGCTCCTGTTGCTTAAAGGCACCTCGTTTGAATTATGATTTGAAATATCCTCCACAAGTTCATGTATTGAATGCCTTGGGTCTCTAGCATGATGGCAGGATTTTTTTGTTTTTAATGTTAGGATATGGGCCTAGTTGGAACAAGAAACAGGTCTTCAATCCCTTCCTCACTCCCTGCTTCTTGTTCTCTATCAGGTGAACACCATCTTCTTCTACATGTTTCTGCTGCTATAATGTTCTACCCAAGCACTTGTGGCCAAGGAACCATGGACTGAATCTTGTGAAACGGTGAGCCAAAACAAATCTTTCCTCTTTTAGTTGTTCTTTCAGCTATTTTGGTCATAGTTACAGGAAAGTAACAAATAGAAAAAAATTGGTACCAGAGAAGTAGAGTCATTGATGGGACTAAACCTGAGTACATGGGTCTTAAGCCTTTGGGAAGCAGGCAAGAGAAAGCTTGAATATCTATAAGTATTGCTTAATGGGTGATTCTGATTGGAGTTTAGAAGACAAGAGCTAAAGTAATTAATTTGCTGGAGGGAATCTCAAGACACTATAGCATTCAGGTTGTGGCTTGGTTACTGTTGGCTGCTTAAGTCAGGTTTACAGTGAGATTCAGGAACAAAAACAAGAGAAGATTTATAGTATAGGCAGTTGGGCCAGAAAAGGAATTTGCTTAAAGTAAGATACAGGCTGTGGTTGTTTAGTGTTGTTGTTGGTGGTAATTGTTGTGGGGCTTGATCTCAGGGCCTGGGTGCTGTCCCTGAGCTCTTTTGCTCAAGGCCAGTGCTCTACCACTTTGAGCTGCTGCTCCACTTCTGGTTTTTGAGTGGTTAATTGGAGATAAAAGTCTATGGGGACTTTTCTGCCTGGGCTAGCTTCATACCTTGTTCTTCAGATTTCAGCCTCCTGAGTAGCAAGGATTACAGGTGTGAGCCACCCATGCCAGGCAGGAGGGAATTGTTCTTAAAGAGCTTCATGCCATTAAAAAATACATGGTATTCATAAACTGCTTTGTTAAATGGCAACTCCTTTGTGCAACTACTTAAAGATAATAAAAATATATTTTAAAAATAAATATTTGGCAGCAAGATGATAGGAAAGATGTTTTGAGGGCATCTCAGCAATTGATGTGATTCTACCCATTGCAGGATTGATGTTGTAAAAGTTTTAGTTCAGCAGCCCAGACACTCAGAGGCTGCCACAACTGTGGTCCAATTGGAGGATAGCTACTACTCAATGTGGTGGTAGACCTTATTGTTGTCTACATGATTCTGGTTTGTAGGTCTATAGAGTAAAAGAACCGTGGGGTTATAGAAGCTTCCACTCAGATTTCAAAGAAAGATCTGGGAGGCCAAGCAATGTGTGGTAGGGCCAGAATCTTTACAGGCAGCCCCCGAGAGTGTGTGCATGAAGCTGTGAGGGTCTAGGCTCAGTTGCAGTAGTGATCTCAGGATAAAGAAGATGCTAGAATATGAAAAGTTTGCCAAGAAAAGTCAGAGGCAGTGAGTAGAACCAGCTCAAGAGAAAGGCCAAGTGGGCTTCCATCAGCAAGGCCACAGAGATAAGGCTGCTATTCCTAAGCCTTTCAGAACCCTCATCATGAAGCCTCACGTCTGGGATGCCAGACTTGGTGCTATAGGATTTAATGTTAGCCCTTGTGGGTTTCAGTCTTATTTTGGTTACATTTCCCTTTTTGTTCCCCTATTCTTTCCTCTGAAACTGGGTATGTTTACTCTGTACCATTATATCTTGAGAGTATGTAACTTGTTTTGAATTTTACAGAAGGTTATATGGGTTACATCCAAGAGTTTTCATGTCAGAAGTTATTTTGGATTTGGGCTTTTCGGATAATTTTGCAGCTATTAATCATTTGGGGAATTCTGAAAGAGATTAAACGCATTTGGCATTTTGAGATAACCAGGAACCTTTGGTGATAGGGTATAGAACTTTATTTTTTGAACATGCACTATTCCTACAGATTAATTATTGGAAACTTGGGCTCTAGCTGATGGCACTATTTGGGGAAGTTCTTGAAAACTTTAAGATGTGGGTCTAGTTGCAGGAAGTAGGTCACAGGAATACACCTTTGAAAGTTTTATTTTGCTCCTTGCTTCTAGTCCTTTATTGGTTGTCTATTTAAACATTTGGGACCAAGGGACCATGGACTGAATTCTCAGATCAGGAACCGAGAGGAAATCCTATCTGTCTGTCTGTCTGTCTGTCTACCAACCTACTCTATCTATCTATCTATCTATCTATCTATCTATCTATCTATCTATCTATCTATCTATCTATCTATCTATCTATCTATCTATCTATCTTTTTATCTAAATTAAACTCATACTGACTATTCCAATTCCAATTTAGCATTCTAGCCTTCATTCTAAGTTCTCTGTGTATTTGGTACTGGGGCTTGAACTTAGGGCCTGGGCACTGACCCTTAGTTTTTTCACTCAAGTCTGGCATTCTACCACTTGAGCCACAGCTCTACTTCCTAGATTCTCTGTATTTGTGTTCCCATCTCTTAACAGTGTACTGTCTCTACAGTATTGTTTTGGCAAGCTTTGGCATTAACTGATAAATGTGGGCTTTAGGACTTGAACAGATGAGTGAATAATTAGGGTCCTAAATATGTATTTTCAATTACTGATAAATGCTTGGCATGAAGTAGATGATGAATTAAATTTGAATCAACAAATAATTCTCATTTTTTACTTTTGTACAATATAAAACCTGACTTTCTATGACTATCTTTGCGTTTTATTCTTTAAGCTTGAATCTGGCAAATTATTTAATTAATATAAACAGTCTAGTCTTTTTTCCCCTCAGTAAGAAAAAATGATGAATAAAAATAAAATTGTCTCCTAAGAAAAATAGTTTCTTTGTTTTTACTTTAAAAAATTTGGGCATGGGCAGCACTATTGAAAAGAATTCAGCATTTCTAATTACAAAAATTGTAGCTTAAAGGGTTTGTCTAGCACATTTCTCACATTTGTCAGCTCTAGTGATGTGAAATATGTTCTGCATCTGAATTCTCTTCCTAGGCCTCCTGCTGCCAGACAAAAAGAATTTCCACTTCACTGCTGCTTATTATTAAGCTGCTATAAACAAGAATGCTTGAAGGGAACTGAGGAGCCAAGGCCTAGAAATTTCTGATAACCTTCACACTCATTCCCAAATGACATTATTAACTCAGTGAGTAATCAGGGAAAAGCAGTAGGGTTTCAGTCACCTATACCCTCAAAGGTTATAGATTTACAATTTAGGACAGCCATTAATGGTCATACCTCTTGAAGTAATTTTTTTCTTAAACCATTGGGGAAATGTGGTCTATTTTTCTCTCTTCTAATGTAATTAAAACCAATAACCCCCATGCTCATAAATGCTTTATTTCTAGAAATGTGCTTAAAAATAACTACGCTTTCTTTGTTTGCAAAGGATAGCACTTGCATTGTAACTTCTAGTACAGAATTATAATTATTATAATTTTCTCATACAACCAGAAAAGTAGGGAGGGAAGATTTGTATTTGGTAAGGCTTGTCCACAACATTGACTGGGAATTAATTATTTTTTGTTTTAAGGCATTTTTTCCCCCTCCACTTTACCTTCTTTATCCCAGTAAGGAAATGTTTCTTTCAGCTTTTCCTCCCTCTACAAATAAGAAAGAATGTATAAAAAAAAAAAAAAAACACCAAAAAATGAAAAGATCAAACCCTTTATAGCGTGCAGTTGTAAAAGCTTTTCCTGTTTAAGCCAAAACTAAAATGGCAACTTATGCACTCTTATTTTCTACATTAAATTAGAAATCAAAGTTTGACATATTCATATTTTAAAGGGTAGACATGTAAAGCTAAAAATCAAAAAAATATTGCTTAAAATATTTTTTCTGGGCAAAGTATTGTCGTATTGTAAGTTTCCTTCTCCCTATTTTGTACTATTTCTATTATTATTAATTGTTTGAGCATTAGCCTCTTATTGAATTTTACACCCACACATGCATATATATACATGTTCGTGTACATACACACACACACATGCACACACACACAGTTCCAAAATGCCTTTTTACTTTTAGGTAGTTTTATTTTCTCCTTAAATGTTCAGTTAGTTATCCCCTGTTGGGTTTTATGACAGTGTAGTATCTTCTTAGCGGGGAGCACAGGCACCTCAGGAACACAGTCCAGGTGAAGATTAGTGAAAGTTACTAAGTGAAAGTGATCTCTAGTCATTTAGGGGGACACTGAGGGTCAGGGTTGACCTCAGTGCCTGTACTTTTCCCTTTTGATAAAAAGGATGAATGCAGGAGGCTAAACAGAGGGGACAGGCACTCCTTATCCACATGTCCTTTGGGCCCCAGCAAATACCATTTCTCTCCCTCACTCCCTTGATCCTGGCCTTCCCCTCTGCTGAGGCTGTTTTTGTTTACAGTTCATTTTATTTTTTATTGTAGAATTGATATACAGAGGGTTATGGTTGTATGAATCAGATAATGAGTAATGAGTACAATTCTTTTTGACCATATCTCGTTGTCTGTCACTCTCTTCCAGTTCTTTCCTTTCATATCCATCTACAAGATATCCAGTTTATTTTCCACATAGTGTCTAGTGAATCAGGTTATGGCCATTTATTACTTACTATATACTTACTAAATTTTTTAAGAAATTTTATAATTTTCAAGCTAATGTAATAGTTGAAACTTGAGCCACATGTAATAGAAGTTTTTTTTTTTAAAGACACTGCTTCAGTGAATTACCATGATAGTTGTTGTTAATACATTTGTCATATATAAATAGGCAATTGTGATGTTCTTACGGAAGTAAACAGTTTGATTTCTTGAGTTTTAAAGAGTTCTTTTCTATTGTTAGTCCTGTTTGTTAGTAAATCCTTTGTATAAGCTAAACAAAGGCTCTTCTAGTAAACTTCCCCTCTATGGACTATTATGAAGTGTGCATGTGTTGAACAATATGTTGTCATTGACTTCAGTGCAAAGGGACTTTGGAAATGATCTACTTCAAGCAATTCATTATTTAGAAGAGGAAATGGACCTCTAAGCAGTTAAGTCACTTATCAATGTCACATCAATAGTTAGTGACAAAGCTAGAAATGGAGCCTGAGTTTTATGGTTCTCTTTCCAGTATATCCTTGTTGTAAATAATTGACTTCTAACTGCCATGTGATGTAAAAAGTCAGGATTTTGGTGCAGATTTATCTAGGCAACGATACATGTTAAAATACTGGGTAATTGGACAGCCTTACATATCAAATATAAGTTAGCCTTTGTGATTATTGTGCTCAGGCCATGTGCCTGTTATAGAGAGACAGTAAGTGGAGAATTCTAAGGAAAAGGGGAGTTTGGGGGAGCAAGAGTTTGAGCAAACTATCAGGAAGGATAACAATCTATCAAGAGCACAGAGAATGGTTTGGTGGGAAAATAAATTATGGTATATTCTTACTGTGTAACACTCTCACCTATACTAAGAACACTGAGTTAGCTCTATAACTACTGATTTAAAGGCATAGCCATGACAGAGGTGAACAATCACTTTGCAGAGTAATGTGTATTATTCTTTGAAAAATATAATCATATATATGCAGACGTAGGTATGACTATGTATATCTTTGTAGATGCTATGATTGTATCTCTTTGAATGAGCCACTCCTGAGCCTTCAATAACTTCAAATAAGTGTAAATGCTCTAGTAATTTTCCAGCTTCAAGGATGCCTCTGGTTTTAAGGGATTGTTTGTTTTAAATCACAGTTACTAATAAAAGGAAATTATTTTTGGATGTAAATATTTACTAAGAGCCTGTTAATCATAGGTTTCATATGGCACTAACAAAGCTATTCTTCATATAAAAGTTAAAACTAGGCAATTTAAAAGCTGTGAACAAACCCAATAGCAATTTGAGTGTTTGAGAAAACAAAATAGTACCCTTTTTTGGTTAAGGGATATGTGTACTAATTAGCACCTCCTGTTTTAGCCTGTTACTTTTTTTTTTCATTTGCAGTAGCACCAAATTCATATTTCTAGTTGGTAATCAAGTCCTCAATCCAAGCACTGCTTTTCAACAAAGGAATTCTTTCACTCTGCAGCATAACGTTTGCAGAAACCATGATGAGTATCTGATGTAAAAGCTTACGATAATTTTAAGAATAGTTGATTGAGGCTACAGAAGAACAAAATAAGTTATACTTAATGAAATAGTTGTAATGAATATTAGAGGGATTTTATTTTCTTCTTAATCTTTTCCAGTTTTTTAAATGAGGCCATTACCCTTCATGAAGAATTCTCTCTATCCCTTTTACTTAGCACTAGTATAAAACACTTCAAGTGAAAATTAGATGAATAGCAGATCAAAGGAAACCATTACTTTAGTTTACTGCTTTTGTGGTGCTGAGAAGCCGAGGAGAAAGAAATTTTTGAGAGAATTCTGGGCTTGTAATGTCGGTAGACACTTAGTTTGGTGGGGCTTTATATTTATAGAGGGTTTTAAATTTAGATTTTCAAATGTTATCCCTAATTAAGATGGTTTCTTTTCTATTCTTTCTTTCCTCTTTTTTCCTGTGTTCGTTCATTCGTTCGTTCCTTCCTTTCCTAATTGCTTAATTTCTTTTTTAAAGATATTAGCTACAAAATAAGTGAGGAACTAGTGGCTCACCCTGTAATCCTAGTTACTCAAGAGGGTGAGATCTGAGGATCATAGTTCAAATCCAGCCTAGGCAGATTCTTTTTTTAAAGATTTTTTTAAAAAATTGTTTTTGTATCATTGATTTACAGAGGGGTTATAGTTACATGAATCAGGTACAATCAGTACAATTCTTTTTGAACCATTTTTCCCCTTTCATCTCTCTCTCCCAATCTTGCCTTCTTGTCTCCACCCATAAGCTAATCTTGCCCTCCTGTCTCCACCCATAAGATAGCCAGTTCGTTTTCTACATAGTGTCTGGTGAGTATCACTGTTTGTTAGAGATTCCTTTTTTTTTGGTTCATTGTGGAGCTTGAACTCTGGGCCTGGGCACTGTCCCTGCGCTCTTCAGCTCAAGGTGAGCGCTCTACTGCTTGAGTCACAGCTCCACTTCTGGTTTTCTAGTGGTTTATTGGAGATAAGAGTCTCACGGACTTTCCTGCCCGGGCTGGCTTTGAACCGCGATCCTCAGATCTCAGCCTCCTGAATAGCTAGGATTACAGGCGTGAGCCACCAGCGCCTGGCTTGTTAGATTCTTATCTCCCACTAACCAGCAAAAAGCCATAAGTAGAGCTCTGGCTCATGAGGTAGACTGCCAGCTTTGAACGGAAAAAGCTAAGGGCCTTGTATTCAAGTCCTAGAACTAACACATACACACACCCACACACCTATACAATATACCTTGAACTATTTAATTTTTCTCCTTCAGTTTTCTTAGGGTCTCTGTGTAGCCCAGGCTATTTTTGAAGTATCTGTGAAACCCAAGGCTAACCTGGAACTCATGATCCTGATTTCCTCTCTTTCCTCCCTCCTCCTCCCACCCCTAATTACTTCCACTCCTGAGTGCTATAGGCCTTTTAAAATTTTTGTAATTTTTTTGGTGCAGTCTTGGGGATTAAGCCTAAGGCCTTGTGTATACTGGGCAAGTACTCTTACCACTGAGCTATATCCCCAGTCCTATAAATTATTTTAATTCTGTTCATTCTCTCTTCCCCTGTCCCCCATATACTGAGATCGTATGGAGTGGCTGGTGCCTTTTTTGACCTCTGAAACAGGCAAAGAAAATTTTAAGTAGAAATAGCATCAGAAAACATTTGTTAGATACCTGTTATAAATTAAAAGACTTCTTGATTCTTGGTATTATATTTTTAGGTTTGTATATCACTTGAAAGTTTTCCCAGAAGAAAAAAATATAAAAACAGCCAGGAAAATTTTGGAAAGGAGAGTTAAGAGATGTCTGAGTTATCAGATAAAAATATGGGGTGTTAACAGTATCTACCTCTTAGCTTGTCATGAAGATTAAAAGTTATTATTTATTAAAATTTTTAGTGTCTGGCACAGAATAAACATTTAGTATAGCTGTAACTGCTGTTCTTACTTCCCTGGTACGGACATTCATAAACACTGTGTGTGGAAAGGTCTGGCAGTTGTGTATCATGGTGGGGTAAGAACAGAGTGATTCAGCTCCTAGAGTATAAATCATATTTTTAATACATAGATCAAAACAA